CCTCCAGAATTCTTCTCCTTTCATTTCCATATCCCACTGGAGCACATCAGGTAGGGATGACATAATGGAGGAATGTGAGCTGTGTGGAGTTAGATGCATTCATGATGTATCTAATCATGGATTAATCCATCTTTTTGACATGTGTCCATGTTTCATATGTTCATTCATAAATCCATTCCATTCTTTGTCAGTACTTATCTGTGCTTTTTAAAAAGAATCCAAATGAAAATTAATATTTAGATTGGCATTTAAATGTGTTTATGAGCAATATACATATCTAAATATATTTTGCTCTCTAAATACATAATTCATAAGTGTTGTACTAAAAAAAAGATACATTTTGAATGCATTTTGATATGCTTTGTTTCAAAGTGAATGAAGTTTGGGGAAGTGCAAAATCCAATGGAGAACTGTTGTTTTTATCTACACATTCATCCACAAAGCACAGGTCAGATTGGTTTGTTTTGAAATGCAAGCCAAACTAAATGATGAAGCATTCTTAGCTGTTTCCATTTCTTGGCCCAGTGTGAGGGCAGCAGATGCAACCTATAAAGATCTCAATCCATCACTGGGATCTCGTAGGACCTTCACGGCTGTATTATAGTTATAGTTCATACAGAGCCATTTTTTTACCTGTTAACATGAGGAGTCGTGGGATGCAAGTTTATTTTTCATTTACTCTGAACTGAATCTGAGAGAATTCTGGGAAGATTGGTTGAATAGTACCAAAACAAAGTAGACTAGTCATAACAGCAAGGTAGGGTTGGGCAGAACAGGGCAGAAAAGGAAAGGAGGTGATAGAGCTTTTATGATACATAACAAAATAATGTCTCTAACAAAAGGTTGCAGTTTATACCAGTTGTTCAGGTTTATCTTTAGAACAAGGACCAAAGGGTTAGCAAAGGAAACTGATTATAATATCTTGCCAACATCCATGTTTGTTTATAGGTTCATTCAAGCTTCTGAAACTGAAATTGTGAGAATTCCAATCACTTTAGATGAATGCTGTGCTTCTAGCTACAGCTTAGCCTAACACACCCAATTCCACAGTGTAAAAAATACCTGAAAGCCAAAAT